CCTGCTGGCACAGCCTGGCCTGGCTCCATAGAGCCCCTACTAGCCCTCACCCTGCGCTTTTCCTGCCTGGCTTTGTTCCCTGGCCCTGGGACACCGGTTTAGGCCCTGTGTTCTTGCCCAGCTGTTGTTGCGCTCCCACATGCCCACTTGCTGCCACTTCTCCTCCCCTTCCCCCCCAGGCTGTTGCTGCTTTCACAGCTTTCTTTCCTGCTGTTGCGCTCCAGTACCATGAGGTTCTTGGCTGCAGGGCTGTCCCTAGGGGGGGCAAATCAAGGTGATCGCCCTGGGCCTTCCGCTTTGGGGGGCCCTGTGGAGCCAGGGGGAGTGATGACTCTGCGCTGCTCCCAGCTTCACATCTGGCCACTCGGTACCCCCCTGCCGAATCCACTGAATCTGGTGCATCTGGCCATTTGCTACCCAGCCCTAAGCACTGGGGCAATCACCTGCGGTCCTCCCCTGCCTCTTGCCTTCCCCACTCTCTTATCTGAATTTCCCTCTCGGGTGGAGGGAAGCAGTAACAGTCCCAGGCCAGAAGCCCATGCTATAACTGAGGTACATAGATGACATCAACATTTGGACTGCAACCTTCCAGTTTGTCTTCCACCAAAAACTCAACAGTCATCACCCCTCCATCAGACTAATGCTTGAATACTCAAACACCAGCATTTCCTTTTTAGACACCATGATCAATATTGAAAAAGGTAAAATACAAACCACCATATACAAGAAACCCCTGGACCAACATGCATATCTACACAGAACCAGCAACTGCCCTAAACACACCAACAAAGCTGTAATTTACAGCCAAGCCCTTTGATACCACCGCATTTGCACTGAGGAGAATACCCATGATTGCCCCCCTCACCCCTTTGCAAATCTCAAAAGTGCCTTCACCCAACAAGGACACTCCTAGAGAGAGAGAGATCATACTTTTGACAAAACTATCCAGATACAATGTGAAGATTTGCTGCAGTACAAAAAGAAAATACCCATGAATTGCACACCCTTAGTTGTGATATACCACCCTTCTCTGGAACCTACACCGGAAATCCTCAAACAATTGCAACCCATACTAGAAGAAGACCCAATTCTTAAAAGAGATCTTTCCCGAACTACCCCTCCTAGCCTTTAAACAAGCACCGGACCTTGCTAACTCCATTAATTCCCTATGACACAAACCACACCAAATTCAGTATTAAGGTGTTGCATCTCTCTGTCTGAGATTCCAGCGTGCTTTCCATTTATGTTTTGTTTCTCAAGGATTCCCCCACCCTTTTATAATGTACAGCTGTTCTTGCTGTATAAATGTACCTTTTTAAAAGGAAACTTCCATCTGTATCTTATTCTGTTTCTGTGAGACTAAGTACAGACAATCAAAAAGACCACAGCTGAATCGACTCAAACTTTGCTAAACTGCATAGATTGAACCAGTAGATAAGTGAACAGACATTCAGTTTTGATTCCAGAAATGCCGCATGCCTACAGTGGCCCAGGCCAGAAGCCTGGGTGTGCTAGAACATGCCTTTCAGCCCTCTCAGCCAGTCTGCTTAGCTGGAACAGACAGGTTGAGCCAAAGCTAGCCTGCCAGCCTGCAAAGGGTGGGTGGGGCAGGGTTGATGCTGGGAGGAGCAAAGCATCCTGGGATGCTGGGGGACTGTGAGTTAACTTGAATCTGAAGGGGAACTCGGGCAAAAGTTCAATAAACCAATTTAACCCAAATCATTTAAGTCTGATATTACATCCGTTCAGGTTTATCTTAAAGCAGTTTCGGCCATTTTGAAAGCGGGTTATGTGCACTGAACTTCTGTTGTGTTACAGATTTGAACTAGTTTCTAATCACCAGGGATCCTGGTTTTCCTTGATACACAAGCACAGGGTGGTGGTGAATGTTACCATAATGGGGATGGCAACTACAGAAATATGTCACAGATAACAAGTGAGGAGCATAGATCTACACAGGAGACTGTATTTTGGTGCATGTCACTCCCACAATGCACCACACAAAGCATCTAACTAGGCTGCCACCACACCAATTGCATAAAAGTGAATTTATCTTACATATAATGAATTTTTGGTATAAAAAGGGTCATTGCACAAGAGCCAATTCGCACGTACAGAACCCACATAAAGTGAGGGAAACCTGTATCTTTAATCAGGCAAATGGTCCGAGAGTGCAACCGTTAATCATTTGATTATTACATGGTTGTGTTACAGGACAGAGTCAAGGCTGTTCAAGCTCCCTCATTGTATGTTTTCTTATCTAAATGTGCCTGGATTTGGGGGTGGGGGTTAAGTTAACCCTTACTTCTGAATAGCCTGTAGTTTTTATAATGCTCAGTCTGGGGATATAACGTAGGCTTGCAACCATCCCAGTAGTCTTGCCTGGGGAATAAGTACTCGCATGTACTTTCCCATATAATTCCATAGTTTTGCTTGAGGAATAATATAAAATATTTAAATACTCTTTTAAAACATCTTGGATCTTTCTGTTCAGCACTGGTTAGGCCTCATTGGGAGTGAGTGCAGTTCTGAGCCCCGCATTTTTTAACAGGACATGGTGAAGTTAGAGAGGGTCCAGAGGCAGGCAACAAAGATAATAAAAGGCTTGGAAAGCAAGTCATATAAAGAGAGACTGAAGGAGTTAGGCATGTTCAGCTTGCAGAAAAGGTGCTTAAAAGGGGACATGATAGCAATTTTCAAATACCTGACAGGCTGCCATAAAGAAGAGGGGAAGCACCTTTTCTGTCTGCAGCGAGAGAGAAGGACACAGACCAAAGCTTGAAGTTGCAGCAAAGTAAGTTTAGATCGGGCATCTGGAAAAAAACTTTTTCACTGTTAGAATAGTGAGGCAGTAGAATAAACTGCCTAGAGAAGTTGTGGACTTTCCGTCACTGGAGGTGTTCAAGAAGTGGGCAGCCACTGATCGGGGATGATCTAGGTGTATGTTCTACTATGGGTGTTTTCCATGCTTCTAGGCCTTGCTGGTTGCTCCCACTCCCCCTTTCTGCTACATGTGTCAGGATGTTTTAAGCCTCCCTCAGAGGTATTGGGTCAAGGCTGGGATTATAACTGGGGTGTGCCAGTGTTCCCACTGGGACCAAAGCTGGAAGTTCCTGGTTAGAGTATCTTGCCCCTCTGCTTAGAGTCAGACCAACTGCTGTATTTGGGGCTGGGAAGGAATTTTACCCCATGGTCAGATTGATATAGAAGGTGGGGGTTGCCTTTTGTTCAGGAGGCATGATCCTCTACCCATGGTCCCTTGAACATACATTGGCATGTCATAGAAGCAGGATGTTGCCTGCTGTGCTTTACCTGTGGCAGGTTAGGGTACTGTGTCAGGGTTGATGGTAGTTTTATGAAGAGTTTAGATTATGAATTTGTATAGGATCATTTGGATAGAGATTATCCTACTTCAAGCAGGGAGTTGGACTAGATGACCTGTGGAGGTCCATTCCAGCCCTACTTTTTATGGTTCTATGGAACATTATTTTGCTAAAATATTTGATAAAGTACTAACCGTAATGGCTACTGGTGCTTGTTCAGGATGACCTGCCTAACTTGATCTTGGTTTGAGAGAGATGAGATAGATAATACTGTTTTAAATGCTACTGTCACTTTTAAAGTTGTTCCAGTAAAACGATTGGTGCTCAGTAAAAGAGAGCAGTTTTTTTCAGATATTACACAATTTGGCCTGTGGAACTTGTCAGAATTCAGTGGGTTTCAAAAAGGATTGTATGCTTATAAATATTTAGTCACGTAAAAAATTTTAAGACAAGTGAGTAGGTGAGTTTGTTTTGGAACTAGTATAATCCTCAACTTTCAGGGCACAATCCAACTTTTAGCCAAGGAGATTAGAAAGAAATATTCTTTTGGGGAAAATTACTTTATAATATACTACAACGATTTTTGCATCTTTCTAATGTACCTGCCACTGGCCACCGTCAAAAACAAGGTCTTGGACTAGAGCAGGTATGGGGAACCTCCGGGCTGCCAGTCAGCTAGGGACTCCATTTCCCAGCTGTCATTGCCCACATGACTTGTGCCCATCTCCATGGAGACCTCAACTGTGCAGGCAGCACCTGGGACTGAGTGACTCAGGCAGCTGCTCCCAAGCTGCCGGGAACATGGCTTGCTCTGGAGCTGTGATCTGTAGTCTGAATGCTTGGGGCAGGGGCATGCGGCTCTTCCCCAGCTCCAGACAGGATGTCACTGCTGCAAGGAGGCGGGGCAGAGCCACAATCCTCTGCCTGTGTGCCCCTGCCTGGAGCATGCAGGCTACAGATGATGGCTCTGCTGTGTCCGCCCCATCCCACATTCCCAGCAGTTCCAGAGCAGCCCCCTGCGCTGGTCTGTCATGTGCGCTTCTGGCGTGATGGAGGCTGTGGTCTCCATGGAGACTGGCACAAGCCATGTGGGCAAGGGCAGCTGGGAAATGGAGTCCCGGGACGACCATATCCAGCCTGCAGGCTGGACGTTCCTCATCCCTGTACTAGAGGAACACTATTGCGATCATCTCTGCAGAAATACCTTTTTTTTTTTTTAGATCAGTTTTGTTTCACTGGCTAGATTAGCATTGCTATTCTTTCACCAGTCTAAGTGAAAGCCACAACATTCCAATATTAAAGGACTTAGAAATTTGTAAAATTACTAAATACAAGCATACTCAAGGTGAGGTTTTTTTTCCTAGTCTAGTCTTCTCATACATGATGCATAAATATGGGCAATGGGGTGATGCGGGACACAACTCTGTGCTGCTGCCCCTGTTGCTACCAAATGCTGACTCTGGCCAAGCTGCAGCTTTGCGCTCAGTGCAGAAATCTGGAGGGGAGCATGTCCCCCTTCCCCCCCAGCCAGTGCATCACCTATGGGTCTTCGTCTTTCTCCTTTAAACCTATTCCACAGACCCCCCTATGATTAAGGTAAGTAGTATAAAGTAACTGAATAAGAAACAGTTATTTCGTTTTATACGTGTAAACATTTTGGTGTTTGATTATAGGAAAAATGCAGGAAGCTGACCTTGTTGCAAAGATGCTACGAGCTGTTCTTCAGTCACACAAAAATGGAGTGCCTTTGCCAAAGCTTCAAGGGGAGTACAAATCTTTGACTGGAGACTGGATCCCTTTCAAGCAACTAGGACATGCTACACTGGAAGGATACTTGAAGAGCGTCCCAGGAGTTGTCAGGATAGAAGTTAATAAAATGGGTGAGGTAAGGAAAATCACTGAATAAAGGTTGATTTAGTCATGGTTTGAAACTAACAAACTATAAAAGGGGGAGTTTCCTTCAAGCTGTGTTTCAAATTCATAGTGAAATCTGTGGGTCTCTGCATTGTATATAAGTAAGATTTTAGGGAATTAAGTGTTCTAGTGTCAGTGTTGCTCTTAACCAGGCCAGGCTAGGAGCAAGGAGCATATAAAAATGTCAGCTTTGGTGGAAAGACATTATTACTTGGTAATGCTCGTTAGGGATTTCTAGACAACACCCTTATGACTGAGAGCTGTGAATTGTGGCTTTCAAGTTAGATTTTGGTTCTACTTACAATTTGATTATTAATAATGAAAAAGTGATGTGTGCTTTTGGGGTGCCCATGTATGTGCAGCGAGGCTGCTCCAATGCACCATAATTACAGCATGTTGGAGCAGACTCAATTAATCAAGTTTGCTAGAGCATGGTAATTATTGTGTTTCAGCAGACTCCAGTGTCTTGTGTATCAGTGTCCCCATGCTGAAAAATGCTGATGGGTGCTTTAACTAAAGCCACCATTTTTCAGCACAGGGATGCTGATACATGAAACGCCAGGGCTGGCCCACAGTTTTTTGGGGCCTCCTACAAGGCATAGCTTTGGGGGCCCCCTGTCCTGGGATGTGGCTGGTAGTAGGATGAGGCATCGGGG